GCTGCCGTTCTTGTGCAAAGCTGTGAGGTGTGTGTCAACCCTGGGCACAGGTCCTGGCTCACCCTGCCCACCCAGCCGTCCACCTGCAGGCCTGGGCACGCTCCCTGAGCTTCCTCCTGTGCCAGCCAAGGCCCTGCCTGCTCCTGTCCTGTGTCTCGAGCTTAACCTCTGCTTTCTATGAGTACATCTGGGCTGATCCTGGTGGAGTTGGGCGTGCTGTCTTCTGAGCCGTTAATGTCTGGAGACCCGGAACCCAGTCCCAGGAGAGGGAGGGAAGGATGGATGACAACAGAGTCAGTCTGAGACTAGGACCATGTTCAGACTGCAACTTTAGACAGGAGGAACTTTGGACCAGTGATGGAGGGAAAATGTTGAAGACTTTGCTTTGACATGTTAACAATTATTTGTGACTGAGTTTCCTTGGCGTGGTGGGCTGTTCCCTGCTGTGTTTTCTGGTATCTTGGGGCTGTCCTATGCTGGCCATAGGTCAGGGCTGTCCAGAAGTTGTTGCCTGAGGTGAGTGGGCATTGCCAGGTGCCACCATCCTGGCAAGAGGCAGATCTGGGACCCTGAGGATTTGGGCAGAAGAGGCATGAGCTGTGGAGGGCGAGGGGCGCCCAGATGTCCGGCTTCTCATGGACCCTGTGAGTTTTGTCTGTTTTGTCATGTTTTTTTCAATGTTTCACTAAAAAGTCCTCTTCACTAAGTTTCATTAGATGTTCCAACCACAGACCCATCTCAGCTGTGGTCAAGTGAGGGAGGGAGCAGCAGCTGTGGTGTTGTGTGGTTGGAGCAGGGGTGTAGTGGAAAGGAGGTGAGCAGTGTTGTGTGAGTCAGGTGCTCCCAGGGTCTATGGAGTCCTCTGGCCTGGCCTGAGCAGGACAACAGGATGTGGACGGGTGTGGGCGTCATCCAGCTGGGCCTCCCACGCCCTTCGCCTCTGCCTGCTGCAAGGCCCGAGTGCCACAAACCAGCTCCTGATCCTCACTGTCTATGGGGACTCACCTGACCCTTCCTAAGAAAGACACAGTGAGGATGTCTGGGGCCTCTGCCTGGGTGTGTGTCACAAATCACCCCCACCCGAAGCCCCATGCCCTGGACAGCCTGAAGCTCTCTGGGACCTTGCTTTGGCCCTGAGGCCAGCGTGGGTGTCCAGCACCCCAGGAGGCAACCTTCCTCTGTCTGTGAACTCCTCCTCCTACAGGGGCTTCCCAGGTCTCTTAAAGGGGTGAAGGTGGGGAGAGACCCTGAACCATGACTGCATCACCTTGGCTGGGAATCCAGACCTTCAGTCCCTGGGAGTCTGGCCACCCTGACTCTGACCAGCTGGTAAAGGAACATGGCCCGCAACATGGACCAGGCAGGCGGCAAGCATGTTCCCAGAGCTCACCCTGGGGCTGTTCCCTGCCTGGCCTGCCCTTTGATGGCTCCCTCTTCCATTGACCACCCCCCCAACTGCCCAAGGTCCTCCCCTAGTGCCCAGAACCCAGCTGGCTTACTCCCTTTACTGGGTCACAGCCCAGGTCTGTGTTTGAGACCCTGCGGGTCGCCATTTGCTCACTCCCAGCACTAGGCTTGTCTGGTGCTGCTGCCACCAGCACCCTGCATGCCCCTCACTCTGTGCTGCACTTGGCGACATAAGCCCTCATGTGGACACCAAGAAGTGGCTCCGCTGGGGCTTGGGCTGTGTCTGTCACCATCACAAAGGGCGGTGCTGGTCCCTGATCAGGGTTGCAAATGACATCCAAGAGAGACTAGCTCCCATCCCTCCCACAACCCACACACTGCCCTTCCCTCCCTTCCATCAACCAACAGACACCCCCCACCATGGATAAGGGGGAGACTGTGGCTCTGGCCCCAGAAACAGCCCTTCTGCCATGGCAGTGGGGACCTTTGTCCCAAAGAGGGTGAGGAAGTGTGTATCCTGGTCGCCTGAGGAATGTGAGTCACCTGGGCTGCAGGGTTGCCACCCCTTTCTCTGGCATCCGAACCTTCTGGTCAGACACAGCCTCAAGCCACACCTTGCTGGCTCTGCCGCCCCAGGAAGGCGTGAGTGATGGAATGTCCTGGTGAAGGACACATAGGCACCTGGAGAGAACCCACACCCTGTGACAGGTCTGAGGTTGCAGGTGTGTTAGAGTCAGGGTCAGGGTTCACAGAGAAGCTAGGGTATGGGGCCTGGGGGGCGGAGCAGGTAATTGGTCCCCATACAGCGTGAAGGTGGTCTGTTCCTAACCAGGAGCTGGACCATGAGTGTCACACACAGTGTCCAGGCAGGGGTCCTGGGGACTTCTGTGGGGCAGGGCCAGGGAGGGGTAGGTAGATGGTCTGCTGCTTGGAGGTTGTGGGATGTCCTCTGAACACTAATTCCAGAAAGTGAACCACTAGGAGTGAGAACGCGGATGTTTATTGGAATGCGAAGGGAATTCGCAGTTAGCCTTCCAACTGACAACAGCAGCCACTGTCCCTGGCCAGGGGCATCCCTGGGAAGGGCCCTGTATATTTTTGGATGCTCCCTTTGCTGGGTATAATCCCAAGTACAACGCAGCAGGCATACAAGAAGAAGACTGCAAGGATTTTATTGTGAACACAGCTGTCTGAAAATGGACTGAGGAGAGGAGCTGGCTCCTTGCTAGGGTGCGGGCCTGGGATGGGCCCTGAGCAGCTCTCTGCTGTCAGCAGATCTCTTTCTCTTCTTCCTCCAGATCTTCCTGTCGAACAGCTCTGTCTCACGAGGTCTCACCTGGGGCCCTCGCAGAAACTTCGCTTCCGCGCCCTGGAAGTCCAGGCCCTCCAAGGCAGCGATGGCGCAGATCACGGCTTCTGGCAGCAGAACCTCCCGCACCAGTCTCACCTTGTCCACTCTGAGCAGAGGCACCATGGGGTTCTCTGTGCGACTGTAGACTCCCTGTAGGTGTCGGGCCACCACCTCCAGCTGGTGGTCATCATCCAGGTACGTCTCCCTGCATGGTGTGTACCTGTCTTCACGCAAGAAGGCCGCCAGCCAATGGGACGTCTTCTTGCCCTGCACAATGTCCAGGAGGTGGCCGTCAGCCCCCTTGGTCTTCACAATGAAGTCCACCAGTTTCTGGTTGGCACGGTCTCGGGTGGCATGAGTGCGGTCAGGCTGCAGCCTCTTGTGGGGTCCCTTCCTGCCCAGGGACCAGGAAATGGACAGGGATAGAATTGGGGAGGCCTCCTCCTCAGAGTCCTCCAGGTCACTGTAGTTGACCTGGGGTGCAGAGTCAGCCCTTTGGCACTTGCTGATGGCCTCCAGCCGCATGGCAGACCGAGGCACTGCCAGGCCCTTCTCCAAGCCTGGCGCCTGGAACTTCCTTTTCTTCTGGGCTATGGATGGTGTGTGGTGCAGCCCCTGCTCAGGGCCTGTGGAGCACGTGGCCACCCCTTCCCAGCCTGGCTCGAGGGAGACACCTTGGCCAGGGCTCTGCAAACTGTGTGGGAAGGCAGTGCCCATGGGGCAAGTGGCAGCCTGCGGCCCCCAGCCCATGTTCTGGGCCTCTATGCTCAGAGTTCTGGCTGTGGGGGTCATGGCACCTGCTGGACCGGATGGAGCCCACTGCTCCCCTTGAGTGCCAGGGCCCTGTGCCCGGTCTGGGCGATACAGGAATGTGATGGTCACTGGGCAGGCTTTTGCATGGCCCTGCTGCTTATCTTCATCTCTGGAGGCTGCCAGGTTGTGTGGTCTCATACCACTGCTTCTGGCGCTGGTGCTGGTGCCGCTACTGTTGGTACTGGAGCTGCTGCTGGAACTGGAGCTGCTGGAACTGGAGCTGCTGCTGGTACTGGAGCTGCTGCTGCTACTTCTGCTCCTGCCTCTGCTGCTGCTGCTGCTGCTGCTTGTGCTGCTGCTGGCGCTACTTCTAGTGCTCCTGGTGCTTGTTCTGCTGCGCCTGTGCAGGGCTGGGACTCGCATGCCAGAGAAAATGAGGATCGTGGTCTTGTGCTCCTGGCTTCTCTCCTTGCGCAGGGGGCCCTCCTTCCCTGGAGACACCAGCAGGGACCCCGAGTGTGCCCTTCTCCCACGCCGGCCCTGGAAGGGCTCTTTGTGTCTCACTTGCCTTTGGGGAGGGCGTGAGCCAGCTCTTTCTCGAGGTCCCTTCCGAGGCCCCGTGCTGGCCCTTCGTGCACGTCCTTGCCTGCCCTCGCTC